GCCTTACTAATCAGAATAGGGTTTCGGGGCCCATTATACTATGATTATACTAAGGAGCCCCCCCCAAAAAAAAAAATAATATAGGTATATAATTATTAAGTGTCAGCTTTTAGCACTTGGGCTTGGGGAAGTCTGGGACTTCGTCTGCTCCGATCGCTTACGAGAAGACCCTTACGAGCCCGGACGTTCATGCCACAGATGAAGGGCGCACTCGTCACCTCGGTATACCTGGGGCTCCATGTGCTTAAAGCTCTTATAAGGGTTCCTCTTGGGGTTCATTCAGGGGCTCTACATGGGTACCATAAGGGTTTAGGGCACAAAGCTCCATGTACCTGCAGAATCTATACTTAGGCCTTCAAGTTCCCATGTAGGAACCCCTCTCAGGCATAAGTAGTTGCATTGAAGGTACATGGAGCCTTGTGCCTCTCATAACTCCCCTTATGGTGCCCATACAGAACCCTTGAAGGAACCCTTACCCTAAGGCTCTAAGGACTCACATTTTAAGGCTTTTGGGCCCAAAGACCATACTATATAAGGCTTTTGGGCTATTTTGAGCCTTAGGGTTAAGCCACATGGAGCCCCTATAAACCCTAAGCCCTGAACGCTACATGGAGCCTTGGGGTACGGCCATCGATTTCAGACGTCACACCGTTCCCAGGAGCACTGGCCCAGGGCGTGCAGCATGACCGACAAAGTCATGCTTAGGGTTTAGGGTTCAGGGTTTAGGCTCGAGGGTTTAGGGTTGAGGTCTCAGGTTCTAGGTTCTAGGAAATTTTAGGGTTTAGGATTTTCGCCTTAGCTAAACCCTAAACCCTAAACCGTTAGGTTCTAGGTTTTAGGACTTTTTAGGGTTTAGTTTTGTGGGTTTAGGGTTGGGTGAGCGGGTCTTCCTGCGTGGGGTTTAGGGTTTAGAGGAGAAGGTTCCAAATTTCAGATCCGAGTTCAATGCCTGAAAGTCCAACGTACCTACGTGAGAACACTTTAGGTTCAGGTATGGGGTTGCGGATGCCAGGTGCCCCGGGCCCCGGATCCCCCGTTGTATTCGTGGTACCCTCTTTGCCTCGCATTCACGTTGCAAAGCCACACCCCGAAGCAGAGGTAGGAGAATGACACATGTAGGTTGATATTTGGGGAATACCAGGATATGTGATCGTTGACTTCGAAGGAACACACCATAAACTCCCATAAACCAACCAAACCCTGAACCTGAACTTCACTCCCAAACCTCTCGCCGCTTCGATGCTTACAAAGCAAGTCTACTCAGTATGGTAGAAGCCACAAAGCAAAGCATAAGAGATTCTAGCACTAATAATCCTCCTACCCTAAACCCTAAACCCTAAACCCTAAACCCTAAACCTTAAACCCTAAACCCTAAACCCTAAACCCATGTTCCAACTTTCTGGTGTTCAGTACTGTAACACCCTATTTATTAAGCCCCCCAAACCCTAAACTCTAAACCCAAAGCGCTTTAAAGCCTAAACCCGAAACCGACCCTGAACCCGAGGCCCTAACCCCTCTACCTTACAGACCCCTCAACTAAGCCCCAAAACACCCTCTAAACCCCTAAACCCTAAACCCCTAAACCCTAAACCCTGAACCCTACACCCTCAACCCTGACGCGAACCCCAACCAGCGCACCTTGGCTTTGATTCGCGGAGACCACTTTGGTAGGCAAGGCCCGGGGAGGCTCTATCAAGTCGAGGTACCTGCGTCAATAGAAAGGTCTTAAGAATCGATGGGGTGTAGGGTTTAGGGCCGTTTAGGGCTTGGGGTTTAGGGCTTAAGTTTTAGGGCTTGGGTTTCACATTCCCTAAGGGTCCATGTACCCAAATAGTATGCACTTGGCCCCTCAAGTCAAGGCCAAAGTATTTGCCGTTATATACTATTCGGGCACATGGACCCTTAGGGAATGTTGAATAGGGTCTAGGCTTTAGGGGTCGATGGTAATGCAGGGGCCTTAAGAATTAGAATGGGGTTTTGGGTTCCTTTGCTGTAGAGTTATAATTAGGACCCCCCCCCCCCCAATAGTATTGGATTGGATTGGATGCGGACCGTCGTGGTAATGAATGTAGGCCTCGATAGTAAGCTTGAGGGCTTAGGGCTGGGATTCGATAGGGTTTGGGGTTTAGGGTTTAGTACCACAGGGCTTAGGGTTCAGGGCGAAGTACTTGAATGACGCCTTCCCAAGGGGTTTACAAAAGGACCGAAGTAGTTAGAAGAAGGGTCCTGGGTACATCATATAATGTACTTCTCAGGGGACTGTAAGGAGACACTATTGGGTACCTTCTTCAAGGGGTTCAAGAAAGGTCTCTATACGGGTTCCTTTAAGGCTTGTTTCAGGGCTTAAGTTTAGGCTTTGCGGCTTTGCCTGTGGCCTAAAAGACCTAGCTTTTCAAGGAACTATATAGAAACCATAATAGGGAACCCTAAAACGGTAGGTCTTTTCGGCTACAGGTGTGGTTCGGGGTTTAGGTTTAGGGCTGCTGGTTTACGGCTGGGGCTGAAGGCTTCTTGCCTGGGGTTTTGAACTTTCGGGTTTAGAGTTTGGGGTTTTTATAGGGTTCTATGTAGGGTGTGTTAAAGGGCTTATAAGGCTGTAAATAAGCATATGTGTGTGTATACATATATATATATATATATATAAATATATATATATATATATATATATGTATAACGGTTGTGTGCTGTGCGTTCCCCCCTCCCCACCCATGTGGTATACCCCCACCTGCCCCGCGCTGGGCGAGCCTGAACCCTGAACCCTGCAGCCTAAAGCACCCAACCTAGAAAATACTAGGGTGACTCAGATCGACAATACCTATAGTCTCCATTGTAGTTCCTGTTTGGGATTACCTTATAACCTTATGGGATCCTAAGAATAAACCAAAAAAAGGAAGGAACTACAAATCAGCCTATGGGTATTCGTGAGGACTCCACACAGCGGATCCCCAACGTGATTCATCCAAGTATCCTAGGGGAAACTAAGGTTAACCTTTGGGACCATATAGGAATTATCATACCCCAATCAGGTCAACGGTTGCCTACTCTACTACGAGGTCCTGCATGGATACTTCAATTCAAGGCCCAAGTACATCCAAGGCAATATATGCAGACATGGACCCGTAGGGAGCCATTCGCATTTAGTGCTCTACAACCTAGAGACTCTAAAACCTCTTAATGAACATAAACACATTGAATCGCATGCAGGAGCCTAGTGTATTTTAAGGTGCCCTCCTCCAATAAGGGGTTTTGAAGTCTCTAGGAATGTGGAATGCCTCTTGAAATTGTTGATGTCGTCCTTGTTCTTCTCCAGATATCTCTGGACCTCGACCTCTGCATGCTGCAAGTACCTTGGACCAATTCGGCCTACAGTTTAGGGTTTTAGGGTTTGGGACATACATACATACATACAAACATACATACATATATGCATACATATCTATCTATGCATACAAGTGGTGTGAGCCCTTGTGTATCTATATGTGCATATATATATATACAGTTTTACATATGTGTACATACATATATGTACAGGATGTGCAACGAGATACGAGCCATAACAAGATGTCAGGGCGTTCGGACTCTATGACTTCTTGGAGAGGGCTGGTTAACTTCGTTTAAGGTTTGGGGTTTGGGGTTGGCAAAACCCGGAACCGGATTGCTCGCAACCGCGGCCACATATTCGAGGCCAAGAGGCTGCCAAACCCTACATCCTGAACCCCAGCAAACCTACATTGCTAAGGACATGTATAAGTCACAATGAAGGAACCCTAAAAAAAGTAGGTTCCCACATATTAAGATAATCGCTGCAACCTAAACCAATGTCAATTCAGGCATGAAGGAAAATGTGTGCAAGCTTTCGGGATCTGGAAGATCGAACCCTAAACCCTAAACCCTAAACAAGGAGTACCAGGTTAGGGGTTGAGGATGCTTTGGTGGGGTTTCGGTAGCATCCAAGAAAAGCCTCAAGCCCAAGCCGGCAAAACAACCTGACACCAAAACCCTGCACCCTAAAGCCTAAAGCCTAAACCCTAAACCCTAAAACCCTAAACCCTAAACAGCCACCGAGCAGCTTGTAGGTTAGGATGTGCGTGTAGATGAAGCCCCATCCTCCAAAGGCCACAGGGTTTAGGGTTTAGGTCTAGGGAATAGCCTTTTAGGGTGTAGGGTTTAGGGAATTAGGGTTTAGGGCATGGCCTTTCAGGGTTTAGTATTCGGGGTCCCTTAGCCTTCAGGATTCAAGAGTCAGTGGAGAGATCAGCGCGCAAGGTGGCAAACTGTGCAGCCTACATGGTATCCTACGGCTTCGAGGATCCCACGAGGATAGTAATGACCAAGACATCGATGATCTTGAGGTAGGTCTTGGGTTGAATAGAATAGGGTTTAGGGTTTAGGGCTTAGGGCTTTTTAGGGTTCAGGGTTTAAGGGCTTAGGGTTTAGGGTGGTGACCCTGATGGAAATGAACGGACTGATAGTCAATGAAAAGATGATGAGGACATGGGTATGAATGGGTGTCAGTACGAGCATCGTACTGCTATAAGGGCTTCCAGACTTGGGATAGGGTTCTGGGTGTATCCTGAATCCTAAACCCAATGGGGTTCGGGGTAAGGTATACTGGCTTAGAGAGTTTGCGGGTTAGACTAGCCCTACGGGTCCAAAGGACCTGCGAATTAGGTACTTAGCTTTCGGATAGTAGTTATGCGGGATACTATTTGGGAGAGTATACCCTAAACCCTAAACCCTAAACCCTAAATCTTAGGTCCTTAGGCCCTTAGGGTAGGTTCTACAGTAGACGCCCAAAAGGTTGGAAACCCGAGAGCCTCAACCCAGTCATTTTAGGGTTTAGGGTTTAGGGTTTAGGGTTTCGGGAATCCCAGCACTAATTGACCTTAATCCGGTTTCCAACTTGTAACACCCTAAACCCTAAACCCTAAACCCTAAACCCCCCAACAATGTTGGGGGGTTACTATGCAGATTAGGCTTTAGGCTAGAGGGACTTGAGGTTCAAGGGGTTCGGGGTTCAGGGGTTTAAGGGCTTTAGGGTTTAGGAGTTCATGGGTTAGGGCTTTCAGGGTTTAGGGTTTAGGAGTTCACGGGTTAGGGGTTTCAGGGTTTAGGGTTTATGGGTTCCAAGGGTTAGGGGCTTAAGGGTTTAGGGTCCAAGGGTTCAGGGTGTGCCATGGTCTGAAGAAGATGCCTGAATTCTTAAAACGGGGTTCCGTGACAAGTCTTGTACAGGGCTTCTATCAGAGATCCGCAACAAGGGTCTTCGGCTTGAGGTTGCCATAGAAAGGGCCTGAACAACTAAAGTTTAGGGTTCAGGGTTTAGGGTATAATCTGTATGGAAGTAGTCGGAACCCTCAACAATCACAGTGTGGGAAGCTATCAGGTATCTATATTGTGTTCTAGATGGGAGGGTAGATTCTTGTGTAACAAGGGATGCATAATATAAGGAGTACTGCTGAGGGTCGCTAGTATAGGAAGCCTAGGAGACATGAATTTCCCGACAGCTTCAAGCCACGACCTTCGACCCTAGGCCCTAGACCCTAAACCCTAAACCCTAAACCCTAAACCCTAAACCCTAAACCCTGAACCCTAAACCCTAAAAAAAACACTCGGAAACGGTAGAAGCTGGGCCTTCTCTGCTGGTTGAAGCAATCAAGGAGAAAGGGTTCCTGGTTTGGGCTTTGGGGTTTTAGGCTCCCTAAACCATAAACTCCTAAACCCTAAAATCCTAAACTCCTAAACCCCTGACTCCTAAAAACCCCAAACTCCTAAACCCTAAACTCCTAACCTCCTCAACCCTAAACCCCTAAACTCCTAAAGCCTAAACTCCTAAACCCTAAACTCCTAACCTGCTCAACCCTAAACTCCTAAACTCCTCAACCCTAAACTCATGTCCTCCTCAACCCTAAACTCATGACCTCCTCAACCCTAAACACCTGAACCCCCGTATGAGCTCCTCAACTCAAAACCCAGGGTTTGGGGCTTCGGATTCCTGGAAAGGCTGGGGTCGAGGCCGTGACTGAACAGGAGCCTTGGGCTAGGGTTTAGGGTTTAGGGTTTAGGGTTTAGGGTTTAGTCTTGGGCTTGGGTGCACTTGGAGGATCATGGGACTTAGTAACTAGAGATATAAGTGCCCTAACTGGGGGTATCATGAACTACAAGTATAGTTACCTTATTCATAACCCTAGTTACGAAATCCTATGATCCTCCAAGCAGGGTTTAGGGTTTTGGGTTCAAGGTTTAGGGTTTAGGGTTTTCCTGGGAACCCTACCGTTTTAGGGGTTCGACCTTCTAATTCAGGCGGTCATCACCTGCTGTTTTTGTGGGGTTTGGGGTCACCGATAAATGGGGTTTAGTTAGAATTGTTCTGGCCCCCAAAGGCTACTTAGCAGCACCGCAGATTTTGGGGTTTAGGGGGTGCAGGATGGTTTAGGGCCGTTTAGGGTTTAGGGATTAGGGTTTAGGGCTTAGAGATTAGGTTTTAGGGTTTTAGGGTTTTAGGGTTTAGGGTTTTTGTGGTTTTGGGGGCTTAATTCGGGTTTGAGGGCCATGTTTGGCCGTTGTACGCCGTAGGGTTGAGTTATGAAGTCACCTAAACCCTTGCAATGAATTCCCCCTAAACCCTAAACCCTCGTGTTTCACTCTGGGCCCGAAACCCTAAACTTCCGCAAACCCTCAACTTCCCTAAAGCCTGAGTTTAGGGTTTAGGGTTTAGGGTTTAGGGTTTAGGGTTTAGGGTTTAGGGTTTAGGGTTATCAAACCTTAAGCCCTCAACTTCAATACACCCGACACCCGAGACTTGCCTAAACCCTGAACTTCACTAAACCGTAAACCCTAAGCCTTCCTAAACCACCAAGCCTCAACTTCCCATAACCCTGAAGTTCCTGGATGCCCAAACCCTAAACTTTCCTAAGCCCTAAACCTAGACTTTCCTCAACCAAAAACTTTCCTAAACCCTCATCTCTCCTAAACCCTGAACTTCACTAAACCCTCAACCCTATAAACCCTAAACCCTCAACCCTAAACCCCTAAACCCTAAAACCCTATAAACCCCTAAACCCTACAAGCCCTGTAAACCCCTAAACCCCTAAACCCTAAAACCCTATAAACCCTGCAAGCCCTATAAACCCCTATAAACCCCATAAGCCCTAAACTTCATAAACCCTATACCCTAAAGCCCCTTAAACCCCATGAGCCCTAAACTTCGGCTTTCTGACCACTGCCCTAAACCCTAAACCCTAAACCCTAAACCCTAAACCCTAAGCCCTAAACCCTAAACACTAAACCTCGGCCCAGGCGTCTTGTTGTGACAGTGCGTGGTGTCGAAGCCTTCTGGAAGCTCCTGGGCTCTCAGAACTTTAAGGGTTTAGGGTTTAGGGTTTAGGGTTTAGGGTTTCGGGGCTCCTTTCAAGGATAGGGTTTAGGGTTTAGGGTTTAAGGCTTTAAGGGTTTCGGGATTTAGGGTTTAGGGAAGGTCCTGGGCTCTAACATTAAAGGTATGGGCCCCTCATATGGACCCTTAGGCCTTTCTAGGGACCCTTATGGGTACATATAGGGGATATAGTAGGTCTATAATAAGGATCCCAGGGTTAAGGGCCCATACTAGAGGCCCATGGGTTCAACCTTAGATGGGCTCTCAGAACTTGAAGGGTTTAGGGTTTAGGGGCTCCTTTAAAGGATAGGGTTTAAGGTTTAGGGCCTAGGGTCTAGGGTCTAGGGTTTAGGGTCTAGGGTTTAGGGTTTAAGGCTTAGGGTCTATAGTGGGTATTTGGGGTACAATAGAGGGTAGTTGGGGGGTCTAGGTAGGGTTTAGGGGTTTAGAGGTTTCGGGGTTTCGGGGTTTAGGGGTTTAGGGATTAGGGTTACCTTGAGGCTCTACGGAACCATATTCTTAAAGCTTGTGGACCCAAAGATTTTAAAGGGTTTAGGGTTTAGGGTTTGCAGAGATTCTTTTGAAGGGTTCCTTACGGCTCTTAGCGCTTTAAGGGTTCTTTGTAAGGCTTTGCGTAGGGCTTATCTAGGGCTTGTAGGGGCCCTTTCAAGGGTTTAGGGTTTAGGGTCTTTAGAGGTTCTTTTGAAGGGTTCCTTGTGCCCCTTAGCACTTTCAGGGTTCTTTTTGAGGGTTTAGGGTTGAATAGACTCAATCGGTTTGCTGGAGGTCACCGCTGACACACACCGGGTTTGCGGTTAAGGGATGCATTCGCAGCCCTACAGTTACGGAGCTTGCCTAGTGGGGAACAAAGTGACTGTCGTACACCGCGCTTGCGAAAACAGGTCTTCCAGGGCCAATATTGCCTTCAAGATGAGGACAATGATTTGATCCTGCAGCAGCTTTATAAATGAATATTTAAGATATGTGGGTATATATAACATATGCATGTGCCCATACGTATGTATGTCTGTATGCATGTGTTTTATGTATGTATGTATGTATGTATGTATGTATGTATTTATGTACAAATTAAGTCACTAAGTATGAAAGTGTGTTGTGCTCTACACACACACGAAAACCAATAAGTATACAGATATAGACACAGACATATATACAGATATACATATACATATATATATATATATATATATGTATACACATAGAGATATATACGTATGTGATAGTTACACATCTACACACTTGTGTGTGTGTACATACACTGGGCTAAGCGAGCTTTGTTAAACCTGAGGTTAGGCCCAACCTGACGAAAGGTGACCCTCTCGATGCCAACCACTTGGCCCAGACAAGATCTTTGGAGCCGGCCGCTAGCGGACGCTCGGTCACGACCAACCTTGGGGAAGTTTTCGTGGCAAGTGTCCTGGTGGAGTGTCGTTCAGATGTTCTTTCGATGTGCTTTGTTGAAAGTGTCTAGCTGCATTTCGGACAGTGTCCACTTCAATATGACATTTTCCACAGTGTTCCACATGAAAGCTCATGCTTGTGACATGGCTTGGTTGCGTTGTTGCTTTTGGGGGTTGGGGGTTACACTCCCTTTCTCACCTATACATACAACAGTCTGCAGCTGCGGTGTTGAGGGCCGGGGGAACTGTGAATCGGGCTGGCTCAGGACTTAGGGTATAGGGCCGAATTTTGAACATTCATGTAGGGGCGTAAGTTTTCCAACCCCAGACCCGTCATAGTAGGAACTGTCGCGACGAAGTACCCCGACCCATGGATCATGTTGAAGCCCCTAACCCCGAGATCCTACACTGTAAACCGCTGAGCTACCCTAAATCCTAAACCCCAAACTCCTTCACTTTTTCAGCATTCCTGACATTGAAACCGTAAATCCTTTGCAAACAGAAATATAACAGAAGATGGCACAATCCAGCCGGAATGCTCCCCTCAGCACCTCGACATGAATTTCATATCTCGTGACGGCCCACGCCTAGAACCACGGTTGGATGTGGAACGCAAAATTCAACCAGTCACGCAAATCAACCGGAAAATGGGACTTTGCCGACGACAAAAGCATTCAATACAACAAACAAACCGAGGCAGACTGAACACAAAACAAGTCCAGCCGAAAGCCTACCCAGACCCCCAAAAGGATCTAAAAAATAGATCCCCTCAAGGGGTTCCTATAAAGTACCCTTTAGTAGTTAGGGTCCCTAATTAGGGGATCTATTTTTTAGATCCTTTTGGGGGTCTGGGTAAGCCGAATTATCATGTCTAGGTTGAGCGGCATGTATGCTCTGCAAATACATGAAGAACGACGGGAAAGCACGGTTAAGGCGCTCACACCCTGCAGCCTAAGCGCCCTTAGAACCTCAATAAACACTCGTTTGAATAACCCCTTGGAGTTGTATTATACACTGAGAATGATTCCACGTAAATCCCTGGAGCACTACTGGGTTGCTGTCAAGTTCCTTTCCTTGCACTCCTCTACTACAATAAGGAAACCGTTTTCTATTACTATATATCCCCATTACGGTAACTTTCATTAGGCTCCTAAACAGCAACCCAGACCCTACACCCTAAACCCTAAACCCTAAACCGTGGTTAGAAGTAAGGGCCGCTAATATGGACCCTTAGGCCTTTCTGGAGACCCTTAAGGACTTAAGGGTGCAAAAAGGGTATATAGTAGGTATATAGGGATCCCACCCTTAAGGGCCCATACTAGGGGCCAAACACCCTAAACCCTGCAGGCTCTTGCAGTTCGGCAGCGTTGCAATGACCACCACGGCAACGCGGAAGTCCATGCCAAACACACCTCGGAGAGCGTAGGATTAGGGTATAGGCTATAGGGTCTACCTTAAGGACGAAAAGAGCCCTAAAAGGGTTTAAGGTTCATATACCATATAGGGATTCATAGTATAAGGGCATAGAGCCTCTACTTTTTAGGGTTCTTTTCGTCCTTAAGGTAGGGCTTTGGGCTTAGGGTCTAGGATTTAGGGATTAGGGTTTAGGGTATAAGGCATAGGGTATAAGATTAAGGATTTTGTGGTGGGACAGGAGGTGATCCAACATGATCCGAAGCAGGCCCAACCACCGATAACATGTTCTTCCAACCAACAAAAAACTTGGTTCACAAGTCGCAACACAGGGTCTTAGTGTCAAGGTCTAGCGTCTAGGTTTAGGGTCTAAGTCTTCTAAGAGATGCGGTTTAGGTCTGAAGTGTAAGACTGGTTGTAAGCTTAGGGTGTACGATAATATATAACCTGCTATAATCTAATATAACCTAAAATACACAACAATCTAACCTAACTTAGTACTACCTAATATAATCCGATATAATTGTGTAAAAAGACTAGAAATCGAGTAGAGGCGACTACAACAGCCATGAACCCCAACACCCGGCCCCCACTTCTCTGAACCGCGGGGATTCGGATCAGGTTGCTGAAATTCCGAATGTATTAGGGTTTAGGGTTTAGGGTTTAGGGTTTGGGGTTTAGGGTTTAGGGTTTAGGGTTTAGGGTTTAGGGATTACTGTAGCTCGGCAAAACGCGGTTAACAGGTGACCTTTGAATTCTGGTATCCACGGCCACCCAAAACCCTAAACCCTAAATCCCTAAACCCCAAACCCCTAAACCCCCAAACCCTAAACCCCCAAACCCCTAAACCCCTAAACCCCTAAACCCGTCGGGTCCTGTCCCCTTTTGAAGCAGCCGCAGCTCCCACTCCCCCTCTGAGCTCCGAGCTGAAACCAATGGAAAGCATCAGGTAGAGCTCTGCGGTCCAACCTAAGGGTCTGGCTCCCAAGGTTTAGGGGTTTAGGGTTGAGGGTTTAGGGTTTAGGGTTTAGGGTTTAGGATTGAGGGTTTAGGGTTTAGGGCTTAGGATTTCGGGTTTAGTATGGTTCCCCAGGTTTAGGGTTTAGGGTTTAGTATGGTTCCCTAGGTTCCCCGCAATATCCCCCTAATAAGCTGATCTAACTTAAAGTTAGCTTAGCACTAACAGCATGGTTGCCTAGGTACTGGCACAATATCCTCTTAACAACTAAGTAGCTGCTGCTCACCTTTCTAAGGACCCATCGAAATGTGAGGGGCAAAGGGCAAGTAGAATATCTTAGAACCGTAACCATTGAACAAACCCTAGCTTCTAAAGCCTAAATTGCGTCAGTTTCGAAACCTGAACCGAAAACCCTACTTGGAGGATCATGGGACTTAGTAACTAGGGTTATAGATAGGGGAACTATACTTATACATGATTCTAACCCCAATTAAGTTAAAACCTTACTTACTGATTCCCATGATCCTCCAAGTACAAAACCCTCAGTCCTGCGCCCTAACCTTTCCCCCAAACGGTAAAACACCCTCGGTGACCGTACGTTTGCTCATCAGCCCCTGCGATCACAATGCAAAATCCAATGACTGCCAAACCCCCAAACAACCCTAAACTGCCCCTAAACCCTAATGTAGTTGTCCTAACAAATAGAATACGGTTTTGGGGGTGCCTTAATGTAATTATAGCATACTATACCCCCAAACCCTATTCAAATTATCAAGGCCCCGATACTAAACTCTGGCCCTAAACCCTAAACTCCCAGCAACAACCCTAAAACTGCTCCTCCCTGCGGCCAAAATCGTTGATCCAGGGTGGAGCTGCCCTAAACCCTAAACCCTAAACGCGCCAGTTGGGGCTTGAAGCTGGGGTTCCCTGTTGGTAAAAATTCTTTCGTTTAGGCTTCGGGGTGTAGGGTTTAGGGTATAGTTTAGGGTTTAGGGCTTAGGGTTTAGTGTCTAGGGTTTTGGGTTTTCGCGTTTTAGGGTTTAGGGCTTAGGGATTTGGGGTCTATACTGGGGTTGCACCGCAGTCTCCCATGTGTAGCGGGTGAGGCACTGATGCTTTGCTAGCATCGGGTCGACTTCTCCCCCTCTGGCGGCTGCGAAGTGCAACTTTCTTTTCACAAGCTAAACTCTGTCTCCATTGCAGTTCCGTAGACCCTAAACCCTAAACCGTTAAACCCTGAACCCTAAACCCTACTTCCTTTCTTTGATATATAGAGTCCTTATCGAAACAAAGATGACGTGCAATGGAGACTATGGGAAAGCCCTGAAACCCCAAACCTCGCCTAGAACCCTTTAAAGTAGCCCAAGATCCTAAATGCTTGAAGTCTAGAATTGCATTTCGGTGTTTCTAGATCCCCCAAAAAACCCTAAACCCTAAACCCTAAACCGCTTTACTTAAAGGGTGCCATAGGGGCTGGACGCTTAGATGACGCTTGAAAACTTCAGGGCTTTAGGTGTGTCAGAGCGGGGCCTTACCCATAGGCCCCGTAGTAGTTCCTCTTTGGGATGACCTAATAGGATCCTAAGCCCTAAGCCCTAAACTCAAATTCGAAACCCGAAACCCTGAACCCTAAACCTTTTAAGCTCAAATTCGAAACTCCAAACTCTAATCCCCAAAGTCCCACAAAAAGGAACTACTGTGGGGCCTATGGGTAGGCCTAGGGTATCTCTCAACCACCCCAGAAGCCCGAATAAAACCAGCCAGCCCAAACACCCCAGGAGCCATAAACTCTAGGGTTTAGGGTTTAGGGCCCTAAGCTCTGTTTAAATAGGGTCGGGGAGCTCAGCAGCAACTCAGCATGCCCCGTGATCGCACCCAGCATGTGGGTAGTTTTCAAATTTAGAGTCCGCTTGGGGGGGGGGGGGGTACTTTTTATAAGGGTGCCGTACTATATTGGGGACCCAAAAATGGACCCTAATTTAGAGAAATACCCATGTACACTCACTAATGTTCTTGAGGTGCCGTATATACCTCAACGCGGAACATGGGCTTACAATGACTCCCGTCATTTATACAATTGTACAGTTACTTGGAGGATCATGGGACCTAGTAAGTAAGGTTATAACTACCTTAATTGGGGTTATAATTGCTTATAGGTCTAGTTACCTTATTTATAACGCTATTTACTAAGTCCCATGATCCTCTAAGTACATAGCAGTATACAATATAGGCGGGTTTGAGCTGCTATGGTGCTTGCCGGTTCAAGAGCCTCGCTGAGGGTGCTAAACCCTAAACCCTAAACCGTTGCAATCCTTACTGCTCTATGAAACTGCAAGTCTTCCAAGCCCCTGAGTCCGAAACCCAAGGTCTATAAACCTTTGTACTATATTGATTATGTATTCTTAATATTTTCATAAAGGTTCATATATATATATATATATTAGTTATTTATTGTTTATGTATTTATTTATGTAATTATTGTTATTATTATTGTTGTTAAATATTAGGTTTTTAATTTCACTATTCGACCGCAAAACCAGACTGTCAACCGTAACACCCAGAAGCCTCAACTCCAAACTTCCAAGCGCGAGCCAAGGCAAAGGGCCAAAGCATTTCGTCGCCGGCTGATAATGGATGTCCCCCAAGAGCCTTCAACGGTTTAGGGTTTAGGGTTTAGGGGTTTAGGGGTTTAGGGGTTTAGGGTTTAGGCTTTAGGCTTTAGGGTTTAGAGGCCAGGGCTTGGGATTTAGGCTTTAGGGTTTAGGCTTTAGGGTTTAGGGATATCACCCAGGAGCCTCTGCAAAAGTGGTATCGGGGTTTAGGGGTTTAGGGGTATCGGGGTTGAGGGGTTTAGGGGTATCGGGGTTGAGGGGTTTAGGGGTATCGGGGATGAGGGGTATCGGGGTTTAGGGGTTTAGCTGATAATGGATGTCACCCAGGAGCCTCTGCAGAAGTGGTATCGGGGTTTAGGGGTATCGGGGTTGAGGGGTTTAGGGGTTTAGGGGTTTCGGGGTTGAGGGGTTTAGGGGTATCGGGAATTAGGGGTATCGGGGTTTAGGAGTTTAGCTGATAATGGATGTCACCCAAGTGCCTTCAGGGCTTGGGGTTTAGGCTTTAGGGTTTAGGCTTTAGGGTTCAGGGTTTAGGGTTGGATATCACCCAAGAGCTTTCAGGGCTTGGGGTTGAGGGTTTAGGATTTAGGCTTTAAGGTTTAGGGTTTAGGGTTGAATGTCACCCAAGAGCCTTCAGGGCTTGGGGTTTAGGCTTTAGGGTTTAGGGTGTAGGGTTGGATGTCACCAAAAGCCTTAAGGTCGGGGCACCTGGTAGGTATGTAAGTTGCTGTTTATAGGGCTGAGGGTTCAGGTGGGTCTCAGGGCATGGGATTTTAGGTCAGGGCACTTTGTAGGTATGTAAGTTGCACCAAGCGATATAACTACGGATCATCTCGCTTAGGCCCAGAGCGGATGCAAAGGTTTAGGAGCGTCAGCTTTCGGGATTCCGCGCTTTCGAGAACCTCCACGCTAATCAGCCCTGAACCCAAACCCTAAACTCTAGACCCTACTTGGAGGATCATGGGACTTAGTAGCTAGGGTTGTAAACGAGGATAACCGTACTTATAGTTAACTATAGCCCCAGTTAGGGCACTTCTAATGCTCGACTTACTAAGTTTCTTGATCCTCCAAGTAAACCCTGAACCCAAACCCTTAAGCCGAAACCCTAAACCCTGAGACCCAAACCCTAGTAGCAATAAGCCCTGCCCCTAAAAGGCCATGGAATTCAAGACTCTAGGCTGCCCCGGGATCTGATCGGAAAGTTTAAGGCTGCATATCGGATTAACGGTTATAGGGGTTAGGGTTTAGGGTTTAAGGGTTAATGTAGGGGCCTTTTTAGGGCTTAGGGTTTAGGGGTTTAGGGGTTTAGGGGTTTAGGATTTAGGGTTTAGGGTTTAGGTAGGGGCCCCGTGATCATTACCTATTCTATTTTTGCGAGGAGACGCTTCAGGGATCAGAACCACCGGCCGGAAGCGCCAAATGCGACGGTAATGTGGGGGCCTTAATATTTTTTTTAAATAGGGGTTTGGGGTTCCTTATGATAAATTCTACTTGTAGTATAATGTACCCCAAAACCCTATTCTAATTACGTTTTGGGGTTCCTTATTATGAATTATATAAGTGTAGTATAGTATACCCCAAAACCCTATTCGAATTATTAAGGCGCCTACATTAGGTACTCTTTAAGTGCAAGTGGCCCTCTTTCTGATGAGAGCTCACCCCCTGAGGTTTCGGGTTGAGGGTCAGGGCTTCTTAAAGAGCTCACCGCCTTAGATTGAGGTTTAGGTTCAGGGCTTCTTAAAGAGCTCACCGCCCTAGCTTTAGGGTGTAGGATTAAGGCTTCTTAAAGAGGTCACCCCCTTGGGTTTCGGGTTTAGAGTTACGGCTTCTTAATGAATTAGACGACGTAGGAAGGCCCACGCATGCATCCGCGGAGCCCGATGCCCAGCAGACCAGGGAAAACTCCTCCATGACCGGATTCAGGGTTCAGGGCTTAGGGCTTCGGGCTTTAGGAGTTTAGGGTTTAGGGCTTTAGGGTTTAGGGGTTTAGGGGTTTAGGGTTTAGGGGTGTAGGGTTTAGGGTTTAGGGTGTGGTGTTTAGGGTTTAGAGTTTAGGGTTCAGGGTTCAGGGCTTTGGGGGTTTTAGGATTTGGTTTTAGGGCTTGGGGCGTAGGGTTCAGGGTTTTAGGGTTTTAGGGATTAAGTTTTTAGGCTTGCGGGGTTTAGTGTCTGTTCACCGCAGGGTCAAAGCCCAAATAGCAGAAGCCAATCAGAGTGTAGTCCTTCCCAGAAACAGCATATGTATGTGTATGTATGTATATATATATATATAATACACACAAGGAATCAGGTCCACAAATATCCGTATTGTGCCTTTGAGAAACTAATTCCGTGATGATCGTCTATGTGGAGGCTAAGAGTGTGTACACTACTGTTGATGATCTAAACCCTGCATTACCTTAATGACCCTAAATATGGGCACTCTAGTATATTCCTTAATGTGCTAGTACAGGATTTATATTATCAACCGTACCACCATAGAATCAGGTCCCAAGAACCATCCTTGCTATAGCTTCATAATTCCGTCATGGTAGTATATATATATATATATGGTTATTTTTGTTTTTTGTTGGAGCCTCTGGGTTGGTGTCCGAAAACCCAACGGTTGTTCTCCGAACGTATGTCATGTTCCTAGGGGGTTGCGGGCACAAGGACCATATTTTTGAAGGTTTAGGGGCTGCTAATGGATGATCTGAATCTGCGGTCTGGGGCGTAGGTTTTTGAACCTCCGGGGTTTCGGGTTTAAAAATTATCTAAGGATTTGGGATTTGGAAGCCTTCGGAATTGGAAAAGATCAGCAAAGGCAGTGGCCAACGATGTCTGTCTGTCTGTCTGTCTGTCTGTCTGTCTGTCTGTCTGTCTGTCTGTGCATGTGTATTTATGCGGTGATGTAAATGTAACGTAATGTAATGTAATGTACCGTACTGTAAGATATTGTGCTCCCAGCCGTTGTGGCTTTGCGCCACTTTTGAAGGGATCCACACCCTGAGCCCCTATAGAAACCCTGAAGCCAAGACTCTACACTCGAAGCTCTAAAGTTTAAAGTTAATGCTCTAAACCCTAAACCCACACGAAACCTTGGGCTCTGAAGTTTAGGTTCCGGGGTTTAGACTAGTGTAGGAACCCTCATTATGAAACCCGGGCCCCATAACCCCCCAAAAAGAAGGACCCATAAAAGAAGCCCTAGTAAAGACCCAAGGTTTCTTAATCAGGTGCCTACATTACCCTGGAAGTCCAAGGACCTAAACATCATGCACTCTCCCAAACCTTAACCTACACACCTGCTATCCTAAACCCAGGCACCTTATCATTGGGTCCTTTGGACCTGTCTGTCGGGTTATCTCGGCCGAACCCCTAAACCCTCATAGTACCCTTACATATATATATATATATATAGCCTTTTAGAGGAAACCCTTACAGAACCCTTTACCCTAGACCCTAAACCCTAAACCCTAAACCCTAAACCCTAAACCCTAAACCCAAAGCTCTTTAAAGGAACCCTAAGGTTCCTTTATTTACTCGGCTCGCCTCACGCCTGCACCCGGAGTTTGGGTTCGGACTTAGAATTCCGGGCTTTAGGGCTTTTGGGGCTTAGGGTTCCGGGCTTTGGGCTTCAGGATTTAACGGTTTAGGGTTTATGTTTTAGGGTATGGGGTCCATGGTTTAGGTTTTAGGGTTCCGGGCTGTGGGTTTAAGGATTTAAGGCTTTAGGGTTAGGGTTTAAGGGTTTGGGGTTTTAGTGTTGAGGGTTTAAGGATTTTGGGTTTTAGGGTTGAGGGTTTAAGGATGTTGGATTTTAGGTTGAGGGCTGAAGGAAGTAGGGTTTTAGGGTTGAGGATTTAAGGAAGGAGGCCCAAGTAGGCTTGGGGGTAAGCTCACATAGCCCTAGGCAAACATGATCGCGCACACACACACACACACACAACCCCTCAACCCTAAATGCTAAATCCTAAACACACCTTCGGAAAGAACTGAAGCCCCAAAAGCCTACCCACACCTCGCCAATGATGCTTAAGGCCCCCGATTCGAGCAAAGCACTAAACCCTAAACCTAAACACAACAAGAAACCATCAGCATCCTGACTTACTGACTTCGCCTCCCTGAGACCTAAACCCTGACACCCTACTTGGAGGTTCATGGGTAGGTATAAGTGGAGTTATAAGCCCTTCAATACGGGTGATAACTATAGTTATCCCACTTATAACCCTACTTAAAACTACCCATGAACCCCCAACTAAACCCTAAACCCTAAACCCTAAACCCTGACACCTGACAGTCCCTAAAGACTTCGCCTCCAGACAGCAGGAAGAGGTCCAGGTCAAACTGGGCGCAGAGAAATCCCGCGACTCGGGTCGGCCGGATCCTTGGTCTCTAAGGTTGAAACCATGGGCCCCTAGTATGGTTTAAGGTTTAGGGTTTAGGGTTTAAGGGTTCAGGTTTTAGGGTTTAGGGTTTAAGGTTTAGGGTTTGGCCCTACGGTTGATGATATAAATCCTGCATTACCCATTATACGGAATATATAATTCCCATGGTTTAGGGTCCTTACGGTGATGCAAGATTTGTATCATCAACAGTGGTCTGGGCCCTTAACCCTGGAATCCTTGTACACCTACTATATACCCTCTATGTACCCTTAAGTGTCTCAAGAAAGGCCTAAGGGTCCATATCAGGGGCCCATACCTCTAGCCTTAGATTGGCGGCGTCAACCCAAAAGCCTAAACCCTAAGGCTCAGGGTTTACCTGGGACTCCAACAACCTACCGTCTTAGGGGTTCTAGCCTCTAGTTAAGGGGTCAGAACCTACTATTTTGTAGGGTTGGGGGTCACAGGTAGGAATTTATGCGAGCTTCCTGATATGTAGGAAGAGTTTCAAAGGGCTGCAGTATAGATTCCTGATTAGAAATTGTTTGGGGATCTATTATTTGGAAATCGTAACTAAAAGCAAAAACCCAAAGGAATAGTACGAAAATAACAAAAAACATGAGGAATAGTATCAAAAAGTTTAGGGTTCAGGGTTTAGGGTTTTAAAGCACCCTAAGGACTAGTACTGCGAGCCCCGTGCCCACAAAGAAGCAAGTCAGAAGCCTGGCAGCTTTAAGGAGGCCAAACTCCAAGGGCTGTCGAGCCCCGAAAGACATTCGCAGGGTTTAGGGTTTAGAGTCCAAAAGACCCAATATTCAGGTACTTGGGTTTAAGATAGTACCAGGAGGGTCATACCCTACCCCTTGTTTGAAGACCTAGTTTTGTGGTCTGAATCTTTTATATTATAGAAAGTAGGTACCCCAAACGAGGGGGGTATGACCCTAAAGGTAGTTATGTAGGTGAAGATTTGGGAGAGTATATGATTACTAGGTACTTGGAACCTTACCATTTGGGGCAATCCTTCAACCCCGTCTTCGCGGAAGGCCTTTCAGCAAGCTAGAAACAACAATAGCCGTTCAGACGCGCCAAGTCCCTCTAAACCTAAATGCCACACGACAAAGCCTAAAGCTTAAACCCTATAAAACCCAAACCCTTACCCTAAACCCTCAGCCCTAAACCCCTACCCTAAACCCTAAACCCTCAAACCTAAATCCACAACACGATGACACCTCCCTCGGGCAAGCGTCTGCTGCTGCGGAAGGAGCACCTTGCGCTCAAATCTGTGCCCTTATATGGGGTTTAGGGTTCATGGCTCAGAGACCTCCTAGACTTGGACTGGATGATTCTTGTCCTACTAATTAAACCTTGTCAGCCCAAGACACTGAACACTAAACCCTAAAACCTAAACCTGAACCCAAATCCCGCCCTCAACCCTGAACCCTAAACCCTGCAACCCTGATCCCTCAACCCTAAACCCTCAACCCTAAACGCTGAAAACCTAAAGCCCTCAACCGGCTCAGGACCCCTTGCACAAGGCCTCAGATCGGAGGCTTGGGAGTTCGTAGAAGGGGTTCCTTTAAAGGTACTATAGGGTTTAGGGTTTAGGGTTTAGGGTTTAGGGTTTAGGGTTTAGGGTTTAGGGTTTAGGGTTTAGGGTTCTATAGTAGGGTTACCCTTACAGCTACCCTTAAGGGTACCATAGGGTGCTGTAACGAGGTTCCGTTTTTCAAAAGCCCTATAGGGTTCCTTCAAAGTGCGCCTGAGAAAGGGGTGCAGAAGGGCTCTATACATAATTCATAGGAGGGTTTGGGGGGCTTTAGGGTTTAGGATTTAGGGGTTTGGGGGTTCAGGGATTTCTGGGTTCAGTGTTTAGTATTTAGGGAGTTCGTTCGTAGAAGGCTTTGCGATTATATCAGGGCCGCGTTGATCAGAACAGGGTCCTGTATTAAACTACTCTATCACTATACTAAGGAAGCTGGTGAATTGAAGAAAAACTGATTCATTCGCCTAAATCATCTTAGTTTGAGAGGCAGACATCGACAACTCGCGATCTGTGCCGACTCCACACAACACAGGCCCGATGTTCAAGTGTCTGCAAAACAGCTCGCTTCAAGGTTGCCACGCGAAACTGTCGTCCTCTCAAGTACTAAGCCCCGTGTCTCGATGTAACCCATCTGGAAGGCCACTGCGCGAACAGCCGCCATGGCACTGCACGTTCTGGAGGACGCTCACGTTCCAGAGCTTCCGCGAGCACCTTGTCCACTCTGGACTCTAGCCTTGAGAGGGTTTAGGGTTTAGGGTTTAGGCTTTAGGGTTTAGGGTTGCAAGAGTACTTTCATCGCTGCCCTCTGCTCCAGTGTCTGATCAGAAGACAGCCCCTCGCCAAGGTTCCTCTCTAGAGCCTCTTGCAGCACTTCGCTACTGCCCTTAAGCGGCAAGCCCCAGAGCAGCTCCAGCCCAGTGAGCTCGGCGTAGACGTAGGCGCATGTCACTGCCCCGAAGGCAACGGTCCACGTTGAAAGCTTCTTGAACTATGCCAACCATCCTGCCACAGTCAAGGCCGGTGTCTTTGGCACCAGTTTCTCGAGCAAGCCCCGCACGAGTGGTTTCTGGCCTTCCAGCATGGTGTCCCACCACACCTTCAGGCGCCCATCGATTTCCAGATCCCCGACCTGGATAGGACAGCCATGCCTCTCACCCGTGGTCTGTACCTCTGTCCCTCCTGCAACCACTGTGGGGTCCAATTGGGTGGTTGTCAAAATTATGGTCCCTTTTTGGGTCCTTATTATAATACGGCACCTATTATTTAGGGTACCCCCAAAAGGGACCATAATTTTGACAACCACCCAATTGTACTCTTGGTTCAGCTTGGCCACCTTTGGCCTGATCAGCCCTTCCCCTGCTCTCCATCCTGCACAAGAGCTTGTCTCAAACCTTTAGGGTTTAGGGTTTAGGGTTTAGGATTTAGGGTTTAGGGTTTATAGTCAAACCTACCTATAGTCTCCATTGTAGTTCCTTTTTGGGGATGCCTTATAAAATCCTTAATATATTATTGGTTAAATCAAGAAAAGGAACTACAATGGAGACTACAGGTAGTCCCCTCAAATCCCCTCAAGACACGCAGGTGAAGGCTCGAAGGCCGCCAAGTAAGCACGTGTCCTGGCCCAAACCCCCAAATCCTAAACCTTTGAAGCCTGAAGCTCTGACACTTCCGAAGTCCTACCTGGGGATCCGAAAACCTAGCGGTTTTTTTTGTTAGGGTTTAGGGTTTAGGGTGGGGGGGGTATACCCTTCTATTTTTGCAGGGTATACCGCTTAGGGCTACACGGTTCATACCCTATAAGTAAAGTAAGGGGTATTAATGTGTTGCTATACCCTTCTATGTTGTAGGGTTTGGGGCTACAGGTAAACCCTCAAACCCCAACAGCCCCATCAACACCGAAACCCCAAAACCCAAAACCCTAAACCCCAAAAAACCCTGAACCCCAAACCTCTAAACCCAAAACCCCTAAACCCTAACCCAAAATCCAAAACCCCTAAAACCCTAAAACCCCTGAAACCCCAAACCTCGGGGCCTTCTGCAAGTCCGTAGCAATGGACGTGTTCTTTCGATCCATGGCGTTCTGCAGGGCTTTGGGGTTTCGGGCCGAGTAGAGCTTAGAATCAGCCTTCAGGGTGTGGGTTTAGGGTTTAGGGTTTAGGGTTTAGGGTTTAGGGCTCTTGCTTTGGGGTGAATGTAATGTATGGGCCTGAATAATTGCAATAGGGTTTTGGGGTATATTAGATACTACCAGTATAGTTGTAATAATGCCCCTAAATTCGGTATGATTCGGTATGAATTGCTTCGTGAGTATAGCCAGAGCAATTTGTACGTGTGAGTTCATCATGCCACCTATTGGCGTACAGGCTGTGACTGCCTTGGCGATGCTCTTGGTGCTACGTATTCATCTTACCCAAAGTACTGTCTCGTCAACCACGTAAACATCCCTAAACCCTTGTTAAAAAAGGATCGAATGAAGAGCCAAAGCCCCTTACAATCCACCATAGGCCTTGAAGTCGCAAGCACTCCACCCCGACCCTACACCCAATCCCTCAACCCCGGATCCCCGAATTAAGGGGCATTTCGGTTTAGGGTTTAGGGTTTAGGGTTTAGGGTTTAGGGCTTAGGGTTTAGGGTTTAGGGTTTAGGGTTTAGGGGTTTAGGGGCCATGGTTCTCGGCTCCCTTTTCAACAAGCCTTTGGGGGGGAAGAAAGCCAAACCCCAAAGCCGATCCCATCCTAAACCCTAGTGGTTGCATCCTAAACCCTAGAATCCACCGTTTATTGCAGAAACCGGAAAAATCAAACCCATAGGCTTCTTCCTGTATAGCCCATGTATTATATTGGTTTGGATTATGAACTTAAGGGTTTTAGGGTTTAGGGTCTGGCTCTAATAGTCCCAATACCTAGTCATCATATACTCTCCCATATATTGACTTACATAACTAATATCTTAAACCCAAGAACCTATTCATCATATACTCCCCCGTATATTGACCTCCATAACTACTATCTTAAACCAAGTACCTTATTACTGGGTCCTTTGGACCCTTAGGGTACGGGTTTAAGCAGGGTTAAGCGTGGGGGCCAAGGGGTTGCATGCGCTTTCTCTCCTTCCTTCCCCAGTGTATTCGGCGAGGAGTAGGGAAAACGGAACCAGCTTTCGTCCTCCTGTTCAGGTTTCCCTAGCAGCTGCATGAGGCTTTCGCCGTAGAGCCCAACACGGGATGCCAGAAAGGTTACCATCAGTGAGGCCGCTATCTTGGAAGTGGGTGCTGCAACCTGACTCAGTCCTTCACGAAGCTGCTTGGTCACGGCAACGCTGATTCTATGAACATTAAGGTCCTTGATCGATGCGTCGCAACCAGCCTGGAGTGGCGGGTAAGAGGTGTACCCCTCCGACGCCAGAAAGTTCATGGCCTCAAGATATTGTGGCTCCTCCTTGTACCCTGGAGCGGAATCCGACACTCCAAGTGAGGCTGTCGGAACTGCTGCTACTTGTATCCCAAAAAGAAGCTTTGACAATAAGAATAGGGCTTCGGGGCTCATTGCCTAAAACCCTCCTCAACAGCGGCCCCTAACGAACAGTATTTCGTAGTTATTTTGGGTTCAATCTCCGAACTTATTATTATTGAAACCCCGACCCATATATTGCTGACTACGTCTCCCGATCCTTCAAGTATCTTGCAAAATCCTTCAATAAAGGAATATGCAAATCATTTTAAGGATCTTAACTACTATGTTACGTAGTCAAGTAGGAATACTTTCCAAAACCATAATAATCACTCCTAGTTCCTATACAAACCCCATTTTCTACTAATGCACGTATCCTAAGCCCCTGAACCCCTAGACTCCTAAACCCTAAACCCCTAAAGCTCTAAACCCCGAAACCCTAAACCCTAAACCCCTAAAGCCCCCAAACCCAGTCCCTAAACTCCAAGGACCTCTTGACTCCCCAAAGAACCCAATACTCCTTAATCAAGGAACATACCTTATATCAAAATATTAAGTCAGGTATATTCCATAACTAAGAGAAAGGAATATACCTTAAGTTATAAGGGCCTTAATATTATGATTTAAGGTATATTCCTACTTAATTAAGGTGTATTGGGTTCTCTGGGTCTTGACCCTAAACCCTAAAACCATAAAACCCTAAAGCCCTAAACCCTAAACCCTAGACCCTAAACCCTAAAACCCTAAAACCCAAAACCCTAAACCCTAAACCCCTTTGGTTTGTAGCGCCTGTCTCTTGAGCGCACGTTCCCCGCGACCTCGCGCTGCTGGAGGGCCTGGTTAGGAACCCAAAAGAACATAAGCATCAGCCTTTTTTATAGGTTTAGGGTTTAGGGTTTTAGTGTTTAGGGTTTAGGGTTTAGGGCCTGGTTAGGAACCCAAGAAGGACATACGCATCAGGCTTGTTATAGGGATATCCCTACCTTATTGGGCTTCATTATAAGGGGGTTTATATGGGATATCCGCAAACCTTAAACCCTAAACCCGACACCTAAACCCTACCTTATTGGGCTTCATTATAAGGGGGTTTATATGGGATATCCCTATACTAATTTTGGCTTTCCGTGGGAAGCTCAGGGTCCCTGAAAGCCTCTAGGGTTCAGGGTTTAGGGTTTTTGGGTTTTTGGGGTTTGGGGTTTGGGGTTTAGGGTTTAGGGGTTTAGGGTTTAGGGTTTAGGGTTTATGGCTTAGGGTGTAGACCTAAACCTCAGGGTGCCGAAAGGCTTTCAGGCAGTTCGGCTTGGGGCTGCAGGGTTCGAGGGCATCGGGCCTTCTGGGTATTTTGGGGTTTGGTTTTGGGGTTTGGAGGTTTGGGGGTTTGTTTTGGGTTTAGGGTTCAGGGCTTAGGGTTTAGGGTTTAAGTTTTTTTGGGGTTTTGGGGGGTTTGAGGTTTAAACTTTTAAAAACATTAGGGTTTCGATGTAGGGTTTGTGGGTGAGAGGATTAGGGACATGGTCTTGGAAGTGGCAGCAGACTTGTAAGCCAGTTTCTCGGTAGGCAACCAGCAGATACTTGTCATACTGGTTGTTGTGTAAAGCTCTTGAAAACTTTGACAACCGACTATGGAGACCTTGCATACATCAACAAAAGAGGAACTAGGCATGACACCCTTCCTAGTCAGTGGCTTTACTGAGCTGGTATAGAAGCTGTAAAGAAGCCCAGATCACCTTCATATACCTGGGAGTTCACTACAATTTCCCAAAGCCCATGTAGCTCCCGCTAGCCCAAACATATGCAACCCTGTGGCAAATGCTGATCTCTAAACCCTAAACCCTAAACTCTAAATCCTAAACCCTAAACCCATCACCTAAACCCTAAACCCTAAAGCATAAGTTACCTAAACCCTCTAAACCCTAAACCCTGAAAGGAACTCCTGAAGGAACGCTCGCAGGAATGCAGGAAAGCCCGTTAGTAAGGTACATAGACCCTATAAACCCTAAACCCTACCTGTAGCCCCAAAACCCTACAAAACAGTGGGTTCTGACCAGTCATAGAGCATATCCCGTAAACAGCAAGAGGTCCCCACATACAGCCGAAAAAACCCTAAACCCTAAACCCTGACAGCATAAATCCCTCAATCTTAAACCTCGATTATGCCCGAAAACCCTACAGCCCCAAAACCCTTCAGCCCTAAAACCCCAAAACCCCAAAACACTCTAAAACCCTAAAGCCCTCGAAACCCTGACACACCCTAAAAGACACCCTAAAGACCATGGACCCTAAAACCCTGGACCCGGAAACCCTTAGACCCTATCTTAACTCCAAATTGCCTACCTTCTTAAGGACCTCTATAACGAAATCATAAGCCCTCAACTCCTAAAACCCTTAGACCCTAAACCCTAAACCCCGAAACCCCTTAGACCCTAAACCCCAAAACCCTTAGACCCCAAACCCTAAAACGATAAAACCCCAAAGCTCTTAGACCCTAAAACCATAAAACCCTAAAGCCATAAAACCCTTAGACCCTAAAACCCTAAAGCCCTAAAACCCTTAGACCCTAAACCCTAAAACTATAAAGCCCTAAAACCCTCAGACCCTAAACCCTAAAATCCTAAAACCCTAAAACCTTAGACCCTGGACCCTAAACCCTAAAACCATAAAGCCCTAAAGCCCCTAGACCCCCTATTGAGGGACTTATAGCCCATATTGGGGGACTTATAACCCATATTGGGGGCCTAAAAACCCATACTGGGGGCCTTATAACGTAAACCCTAAACCCTAAACCCTAAACCCTAGACCCTAAAGCCCTTAGACACCAAACAAGCCCTCAACTTGGGCCCAGAAGCTCGAAGCTTCTGGCTGCTCCCAAGGGAAATCCCGGGATGCTTGCTCCTCTGTCTGGTGCTTGGAGTTTAGGGGTTTAGGGTTTAGGGTTTTAGGGTTTAGGGTTTAGGGTTTAGGGTTTTAGGGCTTTAGGGTTTAGGGTTTGGGGCTTTAGGGTTTAGGGTTTTAAGGCATTAGAGTTTTAGGGTTTAGGGTTTTAGGGTTTAGGGTTTAGGGTTTAGGGTTTAGGGGTTCTTAGGAGAAAGTGGGGGAATGGGTTATGGGGACTACTATAAGGACCTTATAAGGGACTATCATCGGGATCCATTCCCCCGTTCCCTACTTCGAGGAGCATGGGAGTTATCAAGTAAGGTTATAACTACCTTAATTGGGGTTATAAGGTTATAATTGCTTATTACTATGGTTACCTTGCAAACCCAAAACCCTAGTTACTAAGTCCCATGATCCCCCATTCGCTACTAAGAACCAGACAGTCCTTCGCGGCCTGTTTCAGGTCCTTGCTCGAGCTTCGCTTTGCTTTTGGGGTTTAGGGTTTTTAGGGTTTAGGGTTAAGGGTTTCTAGGGTTTAGGGTTTAGGGTTTAGGGTTCAGGGTGTAGGGCTTGATTCATGCCTTGGTGTGTCTTGTTTGATTTTTTCGGTTTGGGGTTTAAGGTTTGGGATGTCTTGTTGATCCTTTTCGGTGTGGGGTTAAGGGTTCGCTTCATGGCTTTTTTGGGGGGAGGTTGTTGCGTGTTCTTCGCTTTGGTTTTCTAGTGGGTTTGAGTCCAGGGTTGAGGTCATTCGGGCGTTGCCACGTTGTTAAAGAAGTTAAAACTACCTTATAGGGCATCTTAGAGATCAGGATGCCGGATTTAAATCCTGATTTTACAATGCGTGGGCTGTACTTTTGCCAGCTGCCGAGTTTGAAGGACGTAATGTAGGGGCCATAATAATTAGAATAGGGTTTTGGGGTTTCCTATTATACTTATAGTATAATCTGCCCCAAAACCCTATTCGAATTATTAAGGCCCGTATATTAAAGGCTTCGACTTCGCTGAGCGTCCTGCGGCAAGCTCTCTGGTCGGAATGTAGTCGATATGTTTTTCCGCGCCCACCTCTGTCAAATGTGTGACTGGGGGAGGCCTGCCAGGTGTTCAAGGCGACGATGTGGTGAGTCTTAAGAAAGCTGGTGAGCTCGGGCTCATCTGGTCGTTCCTCGGCCGGCGCCACTTCTCTTTTTTTCCTTCCCTCTTTTCTCATCTTTCCCTTCCTTTTCTCCTCTTCCCTTTTCTTTCTTCTACGAGTCTCGCCGCGTGAGATACCGAGCTATTGAAGTCGCCTGCGATCAACAGGGTGTCTCGGGAGGGGACCTGCTTGGTGCATTTTGACAACTGCTTCAGCAACGCCTCCCGATCTGTGCGATTAGCCTGCACTGTCTTGGCTGGCGACCAAACATGCTGGTAGACTGCGACAACAGCAGTCCATGCACATTGCCAATCAACTTTGACTTCCAAGACCCTAAACTCGAAACCCAACCCCCTAAATCCTGAAACCCTAAACCCCCCTAAACCCTAAAACCCCAAACCCTAGACTCGTCCCTCAATGTAGAGTGGGTTCTGTTCAGGGCCTCTGGGCTCAAGCGATATCTGGGGATCCGAGAATCTATTGTTTTGGGGTTTAGGGTTTAGGATCTATAGGGAAGCAATGCTTCGGGTCAACGACTCAAGGCCTTGCTTGTTCCAGGCTGAACATGCCTATCTTAGGGCTTAGGGTTTAGGGTTTAGGGGTTTAGGGGTTTAGGGTTTAGGATTTAGGGTTTAGGGTTTAGGGTTTAGGGTTTAGGGCTTAGTAGGCTTTCTTATTATAGCTATACTGCAAAGGAGCCCAAAAGCCCTATTCTAATGATTAAGGCCGCTACATTATATTAGGTCCAAAAAACTGAAACCCCTTGAACTTGAAGCTTTAAAACCTAGACTCCTAGACCCTACCTAAGGCTCTTATTCCGCATCGCGAAATGGAGGATGCCGTTGCGAAGCTGGCATCGACCAGGCTTCGGGACCATCCCACAATCCCGCCTCTTGCCCTTCCAGAAGAAGTGGACACGGGCGAGGCCTGGCCCCATGCCTTCTGTGCGTTCAGCGGCTGTGTGTGGACGGCCAGAAAGGGCACGGAGGACGACCTGCTTCAGCACCTCCACGAGCAGCATGGTTCCGACCTAGATCCACTCTAGAGTCTGAATGGACTTCGTAAGTACGGTAGGTCACCAAAGTGCCGCAACAGGTCTTGCAGCCACACTTCACTGCATGGAATCTCCTCCAATGAACGCTCCTTGCGGCTTGGGCAGTTGGTCGAATCGCGGAATCTACGGCGAGGCACGTACAGCCAAAGCAATGCCACGAGAAACAGCTTGAGGACGCGGTGAGGGCAGAGTGCGGTGGAGTCAGGAATGTTGGGTTGATGGTTTAGGAAGGTTTGGGCTTTGGGGGCTAAGGCTTGGGGTTTCACTATGAGGGTCCATGAGCCTTAGGGTAGTAGGGCTGCGAGTGGTAGCTCTTGAACATACCGCCCGATTTGGGTTTGCACCAGATTTTGTGGTGGTTTAGGCACAGGTTATATGGGAACCTCAACGCCGAAACAGCCCATAAACACGAAACTCTCTAACAGCGGAACAGGGCTTTCGGGATATGGGAGCTCTCTAACTTAGGGTTCCTTCAGGGTCCATTTTGGTAAGGGTACCGTACTATTTCGGGGGACCTAAATCGGGACCCGAATTTAGAGAGCTACCCATATAACCCCAAAAGTTAACCCTTTCAAGGTCTTTCTTTACACCATCTAAAGAACTACCCTAAACCCTAAACCCTAAACCCTAAACACTAAACCCTGTGGCTCCAAGCACCTATTCCTCCTAGCGGCTAACGATTCGACCATGGAGCCAAAAGCTGAAAGTCTTAGGGTTTAGGGTTTAGGGTTTAGGGTTACTGCTCTGGTGGGTTGGGCTAATATAGGGGCCTTATTAGTTAGAATCGGGTTTCGGGGCCCATTCTACTGTACTCATGAGAAGGACCCCCCCAAACAAAAAAATAGCATAGGTAATTATTAAGGCCCCTATATTAGGGTTTAGGGTTTACCTTAAGAACCCAAAACCTACTTTTTTTGTTGTAGGGTCCCTATAACTCCCATATTAGGGTTTATAATAAGACCCTACAAAAAAAGTGGGTTTGGGGTTCTTAAGGTAGGGTTTAAGGCTTAAAACTTCAGATTGAGGGTTAGGTTTAGGCTTTGAAATTGGCGATTAGGATTTAGAGTTTAGGGATGAGGGTTTAGGACTTATGGTTTAGGAATTGGGGTTTAGGGATTAGGGTTTAGAGATTAGGGTATAGGAATTAGGGTTAGGGCTTAGGGATGTAGAGTTTAGGTATTAGAATTTACGGTTCAGTTTGGGTCTACAAGTACGCCCAGAGCCGCAATGTCTACAAAAGGCCTCCGTGGAGTGGATATTGCTTACCTTTCCTGACAGCATATGGGTAGTTCTCTAAATTACGGTCCCGTTTTGGGTCCCCAATATATTACGGCACCCTTATCACAAGGACCCCAAAAGGGACCCTAATTTAGGGAACTACCCATATAACAGCCAAGTCAAGCCTCTTCCAATTGGCTTTAGGATCCCTCGCTTACGGCTTGGGGACCTAAGTACAAGAGCTACTTGGAGGATCATGGGACTTAGCAACTAGGGTTATAAATAAGGTAACTATACATATAAGTAATTATAACCCAAATTCAGGTAGTTATAGCCTTACTTACTAAGTCCCATGATCCTCCAAGTAGTAGGTTGTACCAAACTCCGTAAATGACAGACCAACACTTACCTGATGCTGAGCTCGCGGCTTGCCATAGCTTGCCTCAACTCACCAACATGGCATGCAGCATCATAAGAAGAGAGCAGCCGAAACCTTAAACCTCGCACCCTAATGCCGGGATTGCCCCTAGATTCTGAACCCTGAAACGCTAAACCTCAACACAAGAACCTCCAGGAACCCCCTAACAACATTACACCCTAACTCTCGACCATAATTGATGGGTGCCATGATATGTCGATCAGAGAACAGGCTCCTTGAAGGGGCTGCTATACGGGTGGTGGAGGGCTTGTGGTGGATTGAAGAACTTAGGACCTTAATGATTAGAGCAGTGTGCTGGGTATGCTACCAGCAAGGGACCATAAGGAACCCCAACGACTAGTGCCACTGATTATCTGGCCTCCATTTATACTGGAAAACCAAACATTCCCTTGCGAAGCCTTGACACGACCCGTTCTGCAAACCCTGTACCTGCCATATAACAGCACACGAAGCCCTTTATTACTGAACCCAAATCCCGTAGCAATTTCCTCGCTCTAAAGCGTCAGGGGGTTTTTAACGGGTTCTTAGGACGTTCTATGTGGTTTCATAGCGGCTCCCTGAAATAGTGTGTTAATGCACCTTACCTGGTGTTTTAAGGTACCTCGTTTTATGGTTAGTATGTTATTCTAATGGCTGTTGCTGCTATTAGTATTTCAGTAGTAATATACGTACTTGTATTTGCATTTGTATTCGTATCCTTCGTATTATTACTAGATGATTAGTATTACTGCGACTACAGGGTACACACGTTCCGGATTGTTCGAGTGATCGAACTGGCTGGTGTAACATCCAGATCCCAGGTTTGGAAAGTTGACGGATGTGGAGAATCGCTTTCACATCAAGGGTTGTGAGGTTGCGACTTAAGTTAAGACTTCGGTTAATGAAGTTTAGCTTTACTGCCTCAGGGGTTTAGGGTTTGGGGAAGTCCCTAAACCCTAAACCTTAAACCCGATGAACAAACTCACAGCACCCGCCTCCACTCCCCGAATTTTCGGCCAGTCTACAGGATTTCTTGTAAGCCGTACCAAGTGTCACAAATCATGATTTAGGGTTTAGGGTTTAGGGCTTAGGGTTTAGGGTTTAGGGTAGAGGGCTTTGGGTTTAGGGTTTAGGGCTTAAGATTAAGGGTTTAGGGTTCAGGGTTTAGGATCAACGATCAGGCTACCTATGATCCCAATTCTGGCCTGTTTTCTAAGTCCCCTGATGCGAACATCCTACACCCTCCAACTTCCCAGTCTGTCCTCAAACCAAGACCCTGCACATCAAACAAGTGTGAGGCTGCGGGGGTTAGGGGTCAAAGTGTTAAGGTACCCTACAGCTTAAGCGCCTTTAGAATAGTTACAATAGCCCTTGGAGCTCAATTGTGACAATAGGTTCCTAAAAACAACAAAGACAGACACCGACCCTCAAGTATGGGCTCACAATTCCTAAACCCTAAACCCAACCCTAAATTAGCCAAGCTGAAGTTGTTCAGGCCGGGATGCCATTCTTAGAGCTTCGGTCGGCGAAGTGGTGATGCTCCACCTGTGCATATCCATCCTGGTCCCTAACACCCTAACACCCTGAACCCTTAATTTAATAAGGGATTGACATAACAAGGCTTGCGGGGTTTAGGCTTCA